TTCCTTTCTTTCTTCCTTCCTTCCTTCCTTCCTTCCTTTCTTAGTGGACCAAAAGCGAGAGCTAGATGAAGCTCTAGTCAATATGGTGGTGAAAGACTCGCAGCCTTTTTCCATCGTGGATGACTGTGGCTTCAAGGAGTTTGTGGCATTGCTTGATCCCACATACAGTCTTCCATCCCAACGGGCTCTGAAGAACATGGTGGTCCAGAGGTATGAGGTGGAAAAAACCATGGCTGACATTCAGAGGGTAGAGGCTGTGAGCCTGACTGTGGATATGTGGACCTCCATTAATATGGACGCATACCTAGCAGTGACCTGCCATTATCTGGATGAGTCTGTGAAGCTGGCCACAGTGCTTTTGGGAGTGCTGCCTTTCCCTGAAGCCCATACAGCTGCCAACATTACTGCTGCAACAGGGTCTCTCATGGAAGAATGGGGCATTGAAGGCAAAGTGACCTCAATTGTTACAGATGCAGGAGCTAATATGGTTGCCTCTGTCAGAAGCTTAAATTTAAGACATGCACTTTGCTTTGCTCATTCACTAAATTTAGTGATGAAGAAGTCTCTTGATGTGACTCCTGGCCTAGAAGACCTTCACACAAGGGCACGCAAAGTGGTCACATTATTTAAAACCAGCGCAACAGCAAGAGAGAAGTGCAGGAGCAGATGAACCGTCCAGTGATGAAGCTGATTCAGGAGGTGGACACACGCTGGAACAGCACCTTCATAATGCTGCAACGTCTTTTTAAAGAGAGACAGTCAGTGGGGGCAGCTCTTGCAACGCTGAAAACAGACGTGAGACCTCTGTCCTCCGAGGACTTTGAGACAGCTGCTGCATGCCTGCAATTGCTGGCCCCCTTTTACCAGGCAACAGTAGAACTGTCAGAGGAGAAGAGGGTCCCAGGGTCAAATGTCATCCCAATGATAAAGATGTTGATGTTATACTTATATGACACAGTTGGAAACACAAGCCACAACACTGCAAAACAACTGGGACAGAACTTGGTGTCAGTGATTGTCATCACACTTGAACATACAGAGAACCAAACTGCACTGAACCTGTCAACACTACTGGATCCTAGATTTAAAACCCTAGGATTTTACAACCAAATACAAGCACAAGCATCCGTAAAACGCCTGACTGCACAATGTGAGAGAGACACACCTACTGAAGAACAGCCTTCCACATCAGCTCAACCAGCACCAAATGTTGGAAATCCACCATCCACAGGTAATGTTATAATAGAGTAGTAAATAAGTATAAAGTAAATAAGTAGTAAAAAATGACACAAATTGAAACCTTTCTGTACTGATGATTGCCGTCATGTTTGTCTTTCAGATATTAACCTTTGGGCAGCTCTGGACAGAGATGCCTCTGAAGCCAGGAGGGCAAGGAATGCCACAGCAGAGGCCACAGTAGAGGTGCATCGGTACATGGTTGACCCGCCGCTGGAAAGATCGTAAAATCCACTGGATTACTGGTGTAAACAACCAAAATGTGTACCCTCATTTGTTTATGTCGGCGAAACAATTTTTATGCACTCCAGCATCAAGTGTTCCATGTGAGCGAGTATTTTCCAAATGTGGAGAAATAGTGAGCAAAATAATCTACCTTGATAAAAATCTTTGACTGTTCTCCATCCCCTCCTGTCATAGTTACACAAGCACAAGAGTATGTAATTAAAAGCCTCATGTCCATCAACTAGCCTGCCTAATTTGACTGCAGCCTTGCACTTTGCCAGGAGAGGTCACTGTAACTGAAGCTTCGAGTAATAAACCCATTTTCGAAACAATTGGCTCAAGTGGTTCTGTGCTTCGCAAAAGCTTCATTTGCCCATCACTATCTAATCCCATAATCCTCTGCTTCTAATCCAGATGAACCACGCAGAGGTAGAACACATCACCAGACCGGCTGAGCTGCCTGCTTGGTGGAAGGGACCACTGCAGCTGCTGTTCCAGCCACTGGAGGGCCGCTCTGGCATCGTCCACTTCTTGGCTCAAGGGACTTAAAGTGTGTTTGATGGTCTGCGGGAACTATGGAAGAGTGTTGAGGTGAGTCCACTGTCCACTACTACTGAATGCAGTAAATTTATTTTTCATGTCATTGCTAGTAACCATTCATGAGGCAGACAGATGTAACAAAGTGCAGTGTATGTAGTGTACAGCCATGAATAACACAGGAAAATATTAATAAATAAAAAAATTAAGTTATCAGTACCCAACAATTACTTCAAATAAAAAAAAAAAAATTCTCTAAACACTAGAGAGATCTCCTCAAAAAATATATATATTTATATTACGAAACGTTGTTTTGTTGTCTGATTCTTACTTTTACTGTCGCTGTGTTGCATGTTAAGTAAGTGAATATCTCACAGTGGTAGGTTGGTTAGTTCACACCCCAGTAGGGTTGTAAAAAAGCAGAAAAGAGGAGGGGGAAAAAAAAAAAAAAAAGAAAAACCCCCCCGGGGGGGGGGGGGGGGGGGGGAGGGGGGGGGGGGTGGGGGAAGAAAAAAAAAAAAAAAAAAAAGAGCCAGGTATTTCCTTCATGACAGAAGTAAGTGTTGCTCAAACTGGTTCATTTCTTGCACAGTTAATGGTTTGGAGCTCCTGTATGTTGCACTTGAAGCTCAGATTGGGTCTTATTGTTGCAGATAATGTGTGCATCAGGTTGTAGGCAGTGTTCATTCTGACTGCACTCATTAAGCTACCTGGACCACATGTTCAGCTAAGCTTCTCCACAGGGTTGGAGGCCTTTGTTTGGCTGATGGGTTAAAGGACCCAGAGGTTGTTTACATTTTCTCTCTAATATTGACCACACAATTCATTTACATTGAAACGTGCACATTGTTAATATTTATTAAAAATTCCAAAAACAATAGCATTTAACACTGCCACATAATTATTGTCTGATTGAACTCAAAGTGAGCAGCAAACATACATTGTCGGCATCAGAGCTTATAAAGAATAACAGTGTGTGTGTACTGTAAAATAAAATAAATAAAATCAAAATTAAACCTTTTATGATGGTATCCACTACATATGTTGATTTGGATATCCATTTTGCCTTATTTACACAAACATCTTTGATGCAGGAACAGACTGTTGAACAGAGAATATTGTCTGTCTTCATGTCTTTGAATTTTACATCTTAAATAATAATTTAAACTTTAAAAATAAGTATTTAATTTGCTTTTTTTTTTTTTTTTTTACAGAAATTCTGCAGCCAGCCACAGACTTGGTTTAGAGGACCCTCAGGGTCCTCTAGGCTCCTCTAAACCAAACCCACCGCCCCAGCACAAGCCATGGCCCTCGGACCCTCAGATGCTGCTGAACCCATCTTGCACTGTGCTGCTGTGGTACGTATCTTACATTACTCCTGTATTCAACTTGTTTTAAATGCAAACTTTACTGATGCAGGGCCAGGCTTTTTTATTAGAATATAGTCTGTCTTCACGTCTTTGAAGTTTATACATTTTTCAATCTCTTACCTCACCTTTAAAATGTAATGTTTTTGTTAAAAGACTATTTGTCTGATGTTGGAAATGCATTAGACTATACCGCCCTACAAAGCAAACATTTTGTCTCTTTTATCTTGTCACAAACTGTGAGAGTTCAGTCTTGCTCTGAGAGAAAAACAATGTAAGAATATAATCTGTCTTCAAATTCTTTGAAATGTACATATGAGATAAAAATGTAAACTTAAAATAACTATTTAATTGTCTTGTTTTCACAGTAATTAAGAAAATTCTGCAGCCAGCCACAGACTCCGAGGCTCCTCTAACCCAAAACCCACCAGCCACGGCCCCCTCTCCCTCTGCAGCGGGGCGAGACTCCAGGAACACAGCACCAAGCGGGACTTGAACCAGACACTTCTGCCTTTTGGCCACGACCATCCCCACCGCCTACCCATTATCCTGTCCAGTTTTGAAGTTGAAGCTGAAGTGGAATGTCCAGAGGATAAAGTGAAAAGCTCAGACAAAAAAAGCTAAAGTGTGCCTGATCAAATAGCTCATGGTGTTAAGAAACTGACTGGTAAGTCAAAGGTTGAGGGTTCAATCCTCATTTATTTTTGAATGAACTGAATTTTGAAGTTGAACAAGCTAGAAGAAAAGGTCAAATATAACCAAAAAAAAGACTTAGTGGCCAATCAGATAGCTCATGGTGTTAGGAGGGTGGATGGTAGTTTTGAGGATGTGGGTTCGATCCTTGCTGACAACTTAATTTTGAAGTTGTATGTCTACAGGTAAAGCTTTAAAGTGTCTCAAGTCCAATAGCTCATGGTGTTAGAAGGTTGAGTGAAACAGTTTGATCTTCACTCAAATGTATGACTTTTGAAATGGGATGCAAAAAGGAAGAAAGTGAAAACGTCAGGACCAAAAATAATGTCAATGGATAGCTCACAGTATTAGAAGGCTGGTTGGAAGTTTCGAGGACGTGGGTTCGATACCCACTTGCATTTTGAAGTCAGATTTTCAAAGAAGAAGTGAAAAGCTCTGAGAAATGCAGTAAGAGTGTCTCAGATCAAATAGTGCTGTGTGTTAGAAGAGTGGTTAGAGAATCAGAAGTTATGTGTTTGATTCCCTTATGGGGTGGAGTGAGTTTTGGAGATCCAGCGGCCGAAGTAAAGAGATAAAAGCGCCCGGAGAAGTGGTTCTAGTGTGAAGGGAGCTTGGTGGTGCAGTGTGGATGGTTATAGCCAGAAGGCAGAAGTGTCTGGTTCGAGTCTCACCCGGTGCTGGGTTCCTGGAGTCCCACCCTGCTGTAGAGGGAGAGGACGGGGCCGTGTCCCCTCCTGGGTTTCCGGACAGATGGAAGCAGGGGGTTATGGATTAGTTAGAGATTAGTACAGACAAGATCGGACATTATGCAGCACAACTCAATAAAGTCGTTCAACAATGTAGAAAAAAAAATGACATTAATTCTAATACCGCACACAGCTATACAAGTGACTTCATTTCTAGTCTATCGTTCTACAGACTGAAAAAAACAGTTTCACTCACTCTCTCTGGAAGTGGCGCCTTCTGTGGCGGCGTCCGCGTCCAACGACCCTGGAGGCAGGAGACAGAGAGCAAGTGATTAGTACAGACATGGAGCCAGATAGGACATTATCCAGTTGTACTAAAATTCAACAACAGTTTTAAAAATGTAGGAAGAATATGTATATACTGTATATATTTTTAATGTTGTCTAGCACCCGTTTAAATTGCGACCCCTAGTGGGGATCCCAGCCTCTAGGTTGGGAACCACTGTAGCCAAGAATCTACAAAAAAGCCAATTAGGATGACTTAAATGTGTGTTAGCAAACTATACAGGAGTAATGTAAGATACATACCACAGCAGCACAGTGCAAGATGGTTACAGCAGCATCTGAGGGTCCGGGGGCCGTGTCTGGTGGGTTTTGGGTTAGAGGAGCCTCTGAGTCTGTGGCTGGCTGCAGAATTTTCTTAATTACTGTGAAAACAAGCAAATTAAAGAGTTATTTTAAGTTTAAATGTTTATCTCACATTTACATTTCAAAGAATTTGAAGACAGACTATATTCTCTGCCAAACAGCCTGGCCCTGCATCAGAAAAGTTTGCAGTTTAAACAAGTTGAGTCTGTCACAAACCTTGTCTTTTGTGTAAAAGTGTAAATACAGGAGTAATGTAACATACATACCACAGCAGCATCTGAGGGTCCGGGGGCCGTGGCTGGTGGGTTTTGGGTCAGAGGAGCCTCAGGGTCCACAGTCTGTGGCTGGCTGCAGAATTTCTTTAATTTCTGTGAAAACAAGCAAATTTAATAGTTATTTTTAAAGTTTACATTATTATTTAAGATGTAAATTTCAAAGACGTGAAGACAGACTGTATTTTCTGCCAAACAGCCTGGTCCTGCATCAGAGGAGTTTGTTAAAACAAGTTGAGTCTGTCACAAACCGCAACTGGAGCTCAGAGGAACCACATTAAGTTCACTTACTGAGGTTTGCTTTGTTTTTGGTTGCATTTCATTCTTACTGCAGTTTTTACATTGTTTTTCTCTCAGAGCAAGACTGAACTCTCACAGTTTGTGACAAGATAAAAGAGACAAAATGTTTGCTCTGTAGGGCGGTATAGTCTAATGCATTTCCAACATCAGACAAATAGTCTTTTAACAAAAACATTACATTTTAAAGGTGAGGTAAGAGATTGAAAAATGTATAAACTTCAAAGACGTGAAGACAGACTATATTCTAATAAAAAAGCCTGGCCCTGCATCAGTAAAGTTTGCATTTAAAACAAGTTGAATACAGGAGTAATGTAAGATACGTACCACAGCAGCACAGTGCAAGGTGGGTTCAGCAGCATCTGAGGAGGGTCCGGGGGCCATGACTTGTGCTGGGGCGGTGGGTTTGGTTTAGAGGAGCCTCAGGGTCCACAGTCTGTGGCTGGCTGCAGAATTTCTGTAAAAAAAAAAAAAAAAAAAGCAAATTAAATACTTATTTTTAAATTTTAAATTATTATTTAAGATGTAAAATTCAAAGACATGAAGACAGACGATATTCTCTGTTCAACAGTCTGTTCCTGCATCAAAGGAGTTTGTGTAAATAAGGCAAAATGGATATCCAAATCAACATATGTAGTGGATACCATCATAAAAGGTTTAATTTTGATTTTAATTATTTATTTGGATCTATTGTGCTACTAATGGGTATACAGTACACACACACACTGTTATTCTTTATAAGCTCTGATGTCGACAGTGTATGTTTGCTGCTCACTTTGAGTTCAATCAGACCATAATTATGTGGCAGTGCTAAATGCTATTGTTTTTGGAATTTTTAATAAATATTAACAATGTGCACGTTTCAATGTAAATGAATTGTGCGGTCAATATTAGAGAGAAAATGTAAACAACCTCTGGGTCCTTTAAGCCATCAGACAAACAAAGGCCTCCAACCCTGTGGAGAAGCTAAGCTGAACATGTGGTCCAGGTAGCTTAATGAGTGCAGTCAGAATGAACACTGCCTACAACCTGATGCACACATTATCTGCAACAATAGGACCCAATCTGAGCTTCAAGTGCAACATACAGGAGCTCCAAACCATTAACTGTGCAAGAAATGAACCAGTTTGAGCAACACTTACATCTGTCATGCAGGGAATACCTGGCTCTTCTTCTTCTTCTCTGGATTTACTGGCAGATCACAAACAACATCAAGGTACACATCGCCACCTACTGCACAGGAGTGTGTAGCATCATGTCATTTATCTGCCTCTCAGACTTTCAGCTTCAGTACAAACCTACTGGGGTGTGAACTAACCAACCTACCACTGTGAGATATTCACTTACTTAACATGCAACACAGCTGACAGTAAAAGTAAGAATCAGACAACAATAACAAACGTTTGTATATATATGTATATATTCATTGAGGAGCGCCATCCAGTGGTCAGAGAATTTCTGTTTATTTATTTGAAGTAATTGTTGATTACTGATAAACATTAACGTAACTCAACTCTTATTCTATTTATCTAATATTTTCTGAGAGATTTCCACATGCAGGTGAATTGCATCGTGGGTCTCTTGTGTTATTCATGGGTGTACAGTACATACACTGCACTTTGTTACATCTGTATGCCTCATGAATGGTTACTAGCAATGACATGAAAAATAAATATACTGCATTCAGTAGTAGTGGACAGTGGACTCACCTGAACACTCTTCCATAGTTCCCGCAGACCATCAAACACACTTTAAGTCCCTTCAGCCAAGAAGTGGACGATGCCAGAGCGGCCCTCCAGTGGCTGGAACAGCAGCTGCAGTGGTCCCTTCCACCAAGCAGTCAGCTCAGCCGGTCTGGTGATGTGTTCTATCTCTGTGTGGTTCTTGGTTCATCTGGATAAGAAGCAGAGGAATTATGGGATGAACAACCATGAGCATCTGAAATGTTACTCAAATGTTTAAAGTTGTTTTTGGTTTTCAGCCTTCAAATCCAGCATATAACACCACAATCTTTTAAAACTCATTACTATTTAATTTCTCTCAGGACATACTGTGGAATACATTTACTGTACAATGTCATACAAATGGTGCTGAAATGGGCCAGTAGTGTTTGCACATTGTCTCTTAACTTGTGCTGCGTGACTTCAGGTAGTAAGAATCATTATATCAAGATCAAACACAGAAGAGGTGCAGATTTTGCAATCAATACTATGCAAGAATCAGGACTATAGAATGAATAATAATGAAAACAGCTTTGGCAGTAGATTGTAAGAGCAAGGTCAGCTCTCTGCAGACAGAAGTGCAACTAAAATCAAGTTGTTTATTACTTGCATAGTAAAACAGCAATCTTCTCAGCTTTTTCCACATTATTCTTTATAAGCTCTGATGCAGACAATGTATTTTTGCTGCTCACTTTGAGTTCTGTTACAATCAGACCATAATTAGGTTGCAGTGCTGAATGCTTTTATTCTTTGGAATAAATACATTTTGTCAGCCTATTATTAGCCTAAATATTTACAATGTGCATATTTCAACTATGTTAATTAATTGTATGGTCTATATTACAAATACATTTTATCAATCCCTGGCTCCTTTAAAGCCATAAACCAAACAAAGGCCTCCAACCCTGTGGAGAAGCTGCATGGCTTAGCTGAACATGTGGTCCAGGTAGCTTAATGAGTGCAGTCAGAATGAACACTGCCTACAACCTGATGCACACATTATCTGCAACAATAGGACCCAATCTGAGCTTCAAGGGCAACATACAGGAGCTCCAAACCATTAACTATGCAAGAAATGAACAAGTTTGAGCAACACTTACTTCTCCCATGCAGGAAATACCTGGCTCTTCTTCTTCGTCTCTGGATTTACTGGCAGATCACAAACAACTTCAAGGTGCATGTCGCCACCTACTGCACAGGAGTGTGTAACAGCCCCACAAGCATTAGAGGCTGCCCTAATCGTCCCTGGTTGGGAAATTTGGTACACATTTCACACTTTACACACACTGGTAAATATCTGTTCTGGATACATGAATGAGTTAGAGAAACAAAATCATCTTGCATCTGAAATGTAGTGATATTTGCTTCATGTTTAAGACTGTATGTGTAGACAGAAGATGACTACTGGAAGGTTGGAGCAATTACTCTTCAAACATGTTGAGCCATTTTATTCGTAACTCTTGAGCTGTTTTCTCTAATCTTTTGACTTTCAGAATCTCTGAGCATTCTCCTTACACACTGGACTATTTGCTCTGAGATACTTCACCAGTGTTTCTCAGAGCTCTTGACTTTGTCCTTTGGATATCCAACTTCAAAACTCACATCTTTCAGCAAGGGTTAAACAGATAGCCTGTCAGTATTCTAACACCTTGAGTTATGTGTTTTGAGACACCGAAGGCCTTTCTGTCAGTGCTTTTCACTTTTTCCTTTGGAAGTTTTGAGCTCCAGGTTCAATTCTGTGACATTTTGAAGTTGGATGTCTGGTCAGCCTTTTAACACTCTAACATCCTGAGCTGTACAAGCTGTAGGTATTGAACCTGTGACCATCTAATCTGGAGGTTTCTTCTCTAAGCTTGAAGCCATCTGTTCCCTCCGCATTGGGACCTTCTCTCTGAGGCCTTTTTAATTCTTCGGTTTGGGTGTGGGACTGCAAAACACACTGAGCCTTGATAAGGATCCAATGAATGAAGCTGTCTTCTGTCTCATTGAGCTTTGATAAAGATCAAACCCACAACCTCAGAACTTCCAAGGAACACTTTATTAACCTGAGCTAATGGGCTGGAGTCATTCCAGCCTCTCTCCTTAGTGTTTTTCGCTCTGTGCTTTGGACAGCAGCCTTCAAAATTGAGTAACTCACCCAAGAATCAAATCCCACAGCCTCAAATCTTAGCTTTTCATCAGATTCATCAAAGAACTTTGACCTGTTGGTGGCGCTAGTTGCAAAAACAAAGTGTTCTGGGTTCCTTCTCTGGGAAAAATGAATGTCGACAGCAAAATTCAAGACAATACACCCTGTAGCTGTTGAATAATTTCACCATGGACCAAAGTGTTGGACTTACAGTTGGGCTGACCGACTGTGCCGTCTCTATAGCCACACCACCATTATTGTGACTAAAAATAACATAGCAAGAATCATATAAGCGATCACATTCCAGAAGGGAAAACCCCATGTAAAGTTAGACGTGCCCATAACCAAAAAAGCTCTATTGTAGATTACAAGCTTCTGTGGCTTCTAAGCCTCACAGTTAACTAATTCATGAGGAATCCTTTTCTTCTCTACAGTGTGGGACACTTGGAGAAAAAAGGAAAATTAAAGGAATAGTGGAGGTTTGGAAAAGATGGGGGGAAAAAGGATGGAAAAAGGAGAGCGCAGACGACACACAGCCCGGCAATGAAACATTAATATGCCCACTGTGTATGGCGTGGGCATCTCAGCACTTTTCTGTCAGACTCATTTCCTGTTGTAAAAAATGGAACTACGCTTATAATACAGCGTATGTATGAATCGTTTAAATACATTCTCATTTTTTACTGCAGGCCTGTACATTTTTGTACAATTTCCTCAGGCTTCATAAACACAAGGCAGCAGCTGGCTGTGGGACAATGCAAATGTCAGTAAGTTTCCCCCTCCGAAAGAAAAGCAAAAGCAGACACTTCCCCTGGAAACCGGCAGTGAATACAGCAGCATGTGCTGGAATGTTAATCGTGAATGTTTTGTGCCGAATGATTTTTCTGATATGCCGGGCACAGAGAGTGGGAGGAATTGGCAGACGTGTGGGAGGATGACATGGAGGAGGAAGGTACTGAGTTGCAGAAATAGAGGCGTACAAAGACAATAAGCAAGAGCCATACGCTTTTCTGACTGCTACAGTGAACTTGGCTTTGTTATCACTGTCTTTTTATGCTTATTAGCATTATGAAATGACTCTGAATTTTACAGTCTGATAAAAGCAGAATATGTTAAACTTCACTGGAGACCAAAGAAGGGAGAGGAAAGGCATTCTGTTGTGCAACATTATGCTTGGACAGTTTCTGTTGAAAGGATACTGAAAAACATCCTAAAAGCAGAGAAAGGCTGTGGAGGAGGAGGAGGTGTAGCAGAGCGAGGTAGCACCATGCTAAAAGAGGAGCAGAAGTGACAGCCAGGTTCTCATATCCTATAATTATACCCCTGCCATCACTGCTCCTCTCTTCACCGCCTGTCCTGTCCTTCCTCCTTTTTGAACCCCACACCTCTTACTTCCTCTCCACAATCGCCATCTCTCCCTGCCCCTCACACATTTTCTCTCCTCTTCACTCCTTCCCTGTCAACTGTCATTTCCATACCACTCTTCCCTTTGCCTTCCTCTGCTCCCCCTGGAGAGATCTGGGCCACTTGACGTTTTGTGCTCACCCATGGGAAAAGGCTCGGCTGTTAGCTCACCAAGAGGGCCAAGTCCATCTCCAATCTCCACACTGCAAGAGGGCTGCTGTTTTGTCACACACAACCGCTCCAGCAAGGCAAAAATCGAACTGAATTCAGTTCAGAGAGGTGCTTCACTCAGGGCTTGTAGCCTCTCTGTTGGGACATTTTCTTTTGGAGTTTTCAAGGTGCTTTTGCAGATGCAGGTATATAATGTTAGATTGCCCACTTATTATTAATAATAATTATCCAAAAAATACATGAAAATACAATATAGAATACACATCAACATGGACAGTGTGAGTAAAAAAGAATACAGTATCTCCAGTACATTAAAAAGTAGCCTTCCAAAAATGATCTCATGCCAAGAAGATCCAGTGTCATATTTTGCCTCACCTAGAAATTACACACATATGAAGGTGCAGTATAAAAAGGGACAAACACGACATAGGGGAGAGGAAGGGGTGAATGGAGGGGTCAAACAAACACAGGAGTTTTACCCAGGAGACCACTATCTGAGTCCTCTGTGAAACCAAAAGTCAGTGGTGACTTATTTTAAGTTATATATGTGAGTTAACTTACTTAACATAACTTGTGATCTTTTCCTAAACTTAAAAAAAAATTAGTTTTGTTGCCATAAGTGTGCTTACTTGACTTGGAAAAGTTGACTGGACATGAATGAGTCGTTGTTGTGTGTATTAGACACTTATTTGCCACACGTAGCTAAAACTAGTTCAGTCTCATACAATAAATTCTACCTTCAAGAAGGTTTTTTGAAGTTTCTAGATTTCTCCCTGAGCTCTCAAATCTAGTTAGTGGACTTTGACTTGGAATTAACTTTGGAGTTTGTCACACTTTTACATTTTTAAAATGTAAATTGTATTATATTATACAGTTTCTAATATTTTGTCCATCCAATTCCTACAATCCTCTATCTTCCACTCACTTGCGTCAAGAACTTGCCCCATTTCCTGTAGAAGTATACTCTTGTATCTTGCCCCCCTTTAAATTCCTGTTAATATGCAGCTATTCTGCCAAGCCTTGAAATAAAGGACCCCTTGTGATTTCAATATGACCCACAGTATCGCCATATACCATAATATTGCAGTGAATCAAATCTGATGCACCAGTCTAGGCTACCTCCTTGGAGTCTTCAAGTATGTGCAACTTGAGACAAAAGCCAAACTTGAGATGAATCCAGTGCCTGTAATTCTAAAGTATTGGACACTTGCACTATATATGAGAGCACATGCAGAATGTCCCAACAGAAACTACATCTGTTTCATTTCATTTCCCTGTTGTATTTTCTTCATCCTTTATACATTAACTGTCCTGTTTCTTATTATATAAGGCATCTTTCCAAAATCATCAGAACCAACAGGGCCTGTTCAGTAGCCGTTCTGGGGTTTTTTGTCAATTCACATGATCTTCATCAGCAATGGAGTTTGCCCCAGGATTTCTAGCAAATGAAGTTTGCCCAGTTG